CCCCACTCTGTCTCTGGTGAAGCCTCTCGCCGCCCCTGAGCCTCTGGCCTGTACCCCAGTTCTGTATGCACAAATAAATAAATAAATAAATGAAAAATATATACCAGGGGAACTCTAATCAAAAGAAAGCTAGAATGGCTATATATTTTTTCTTTCTTTTTTAAAATTTTATTTTTTGTTTTAAGCCTAATCTCATTTTAACTTTATTTTTTATTTATTTGTTTATTTTACATTTTTATATCCTTAATTTTGTGCATTTTTTCATCTCATTTGTAATCCCTATGGGCTTCCCACCACCAGTTCACCAGTGTGCCATCACAGTCACCCAGTGCATAGAATAGCTATATTAACATCAAAATGAATTTCAGAATGGGGCCATTATGAGGAATACTCACATTATGTAATGACAAAAATGTTAATTCACAAAGGTAGCATCAAAGTCCTAAAGGTGTATAGACCTAATGAGAAGTTAAAAATATATAAAGTAAAAACTAGTATTACTACATATTGAATTGACAAGTACACTTGAAGACTTAAACAACACTCTCTCACTAGTCAATAGGATAATAGAACATCAGTAAGGGTACAGAAAGCCTTATAATACTACCAGTCCATTTGACCTTACTGACATTTACAAAGTATTCTAACCAACAAAATTATTTTAATGTGAGCACAAAAGACTCATTAAATAAACTATATTTCTAGGCCATAAAATAAACCTTAGTGAATTTTAAAGAACTGCAATTGGCTCTTCCTGGTGGCGCAGCCGGTTAAAGCACAGCTAAGAAGTTAAAGCCACTTCAGCATGAATTCCACCCAGGAGGTGATCCACAAGGCGCTGCAGGCCTCTCTGCAGCAGACCTCTCCTGTCTGCGGTCAGCCGTCGTAGTTCCCCCCACCCCCCACACACACCCTCTACCCCTCTGCTACCCTGTCTCTGGTGAATCCTCTTACGGCCCCTGCACCTCTGGCCGATACCCCAGTTCTGTATGCATAAATAAATAAATCTTTAAAAAAAAAAAAAAAAAAAAAAGATAGGGGGCCCTCCCTGGTGGCGCAACGAGTTAAGATGCAGCACTGCAAGCGAGCCACAGCAACTTCAGTACCAGTTCGATCCCAGGCCCTGGAGGTGACACACATGACACAGCAGACCTCTCCTGACCCACCCACTGCTCTCCTCAGCAATGTACTTCATCAATCTGCCTATTCTGCTCCCCACTGTGTCTCTGGTGAATCCTCTCACCTCCCCTGAGCCTCTGGACTGCACCCCCAGTTCTGTATACATAAATAAATAAATCTCTAAAAAAAATCTCATTATTTTTAGGCATTAGCAAGTGAAACTTAGAAACCACAAGGGGAAAAAAAATAAAATCACAATGAAGCATTACTTTATGCATAGTAAAATGCCTGTAATAAAAAAGATTTTAAAAAGTGTTGGAGAAGATGTAAAGAAACTGGAACCCTTATACTTTGCTGGTAATAATGTTATATCCACTTTAAAAAGGAGTTCTGTACTTTCTTCAATGTTAAAGTTAAATGCAGTTTTATTTCATGGCTCAGCAATTCCAGATATCTATCCAGGAAACATGAAAACGTGTCCACACAGAGGTTGTTCATAGCAGCACTATACTTAATAAAACTTGAAATAAAACAAATGTCTATCTGCTGGTGAGTGGCTAAACATGTCATTTTCATACAGTGGACTACTATTAGGCAATACAAAGGTAAGAAATGATACATACTACAGCTGGGTGAACCTCAAAAACATGCTAAACTTTAAAAGCCAGGTTCAAAAGGCTACCTTACCTAACTCCTTTCATTAAAAAAAAAGTTCAGTAAAGGAAAATCTATAAAGACAGAAAATTCATGGTTGACTAAGGATAGGAATAGCATGTCACTGCAAATGTATAGGAATTATCTTTTTGTAGTGGCAAGAAATGGAATTGTGGTGATAGTGCACAATAATATACTAAATATCATTGAACTGTACCTTACGTGAATTCTGTGTTATGTAAATTCTGATTAAAGATGTTAAGAACAATAAATGAATAAATAACATGAAAGAGACTTAAATCCACACATCAATAATTATGTTAAATGTAAATAGTATAAATACACCTATTAAACAAAACTGTCAGACTGAATAAAAATAATAACCAGTTACATGCTCTCTGCAAGAACTCTAGATAATCAAGTAAAAATAAGATAAACATAACTAATAAATTAAAAAATGAAAAATAGGCCCTCCCTGGTGGCACAGCAGGTTAAAGCACAGCACTGAGAATCTAAAGCCGCTTCCGCATGAGTTCGATTCTCGCCTGCCCCGGAGGTGACCACATGGCGTGGCAGACCTCTCCTGACCCGCCCGCTGTTCCCCTCAGCAGTGTACTTCGTCGATCTGCCTGTTCTGCTCCCCACTCTGTCTCTGGTGAAGCCTCTCGCCGCCCCTGAGCCTCTGGCCTGTACCCCAGTTCTGTATGCACAAATAAATAAATAAATAAATGAAAAATATATACCAGGGGAACTCTAATCAAAAGAAAGCTAGAATGGCTATATATTTTTTCTTTCTTTTTTAAAATTTTATTTTTTGTTTTAAGCCTAATCTCATTTTAACTTTATTTTTTATTTATTTGTTTATTTTACATTTTTATATCCTTAATTTTGTGCATTTTTTCATCTCATTTGTAATCCCTATGGGCTTCCCACCACCAGTTCACCAGTGTGCCATCACAGTCACCCAGTGCATAGAATAGCTATATTAACATCAAAATGAATTTCAGAATGGGGCCATTATGAGGAATACTCACATTATGTAATGACAAAAATGTTAATTCACAAAGGTAGCATCAAAGTCCTAAAGGTGTATAGACCTAATGAGAAGTTAAAAATATATAAAGTAAAAACTAGTATTACTACATATTGAATTGACAAGTACACTTGAAGACTTAAACAACACTCTCTCACTAGTCAATAGGATAATAGAACATCAGTAAGGGTACAGAAAGCCTTATAATACTACCAGTCCATTTGACCTTACTGACATTTACAAAGTATTCTAACCAACAAAATTATTTTAATGTGAGCACAAAAGACTCATTAAATAAACTATATTTCTAGGCCATAAAATAAACCTTAGTGAATTTTAAAGAACTGCAATTGGCTCTTCCTGGTGGCGCAGCCGGTTAAAGCACAGCTAAGAAGTTAAAGCCACTTCAGCATGAATTCCACCCAGGAGGTGATCCACAAGGCGCTGCAGGCCTCTCTGCAGCAGACCTCTCCTGTCTGCGGTCAGCCGTCGTAGTTCCCCCCACCCCCCACACACACCCTCTACCCCTCTGCTACCCTGTCTCTGGTGAATCCTCTTACGGCCCCTGCACCTCTGGCCGATACCCCAGTTCTGTATGCATAAATAAATAAATCTTTAAAAAAAAAAAAAGAATTGCAGTCAGAGTATGTTCTTAGGCCATAATAAAATAGCTATCAATTATAGAGAGATATCTGGGGAAAATCTAAACTGATTAGAAACTGAATAAGACACTAAAATAACCCATTCATTAGAACCTAGTTTCAAGTGTAATGAGATAATGTTTTAATTGAATTTAAGTAAATATACAACATATTAAAAACTTTGGAATATTTATATTAATAAAGAATATTGTGAAATTGGATAGTGGTGACCACTGCTTAATAATACGGATCTAGTGAAAACCCAAATAACAACTTTCTGATATGTGAATTATGTCTCAATTTTAAAAAACACAAAAGCAGTGTCTCAGACCAAAAATATAAGCTATAAACGGAAGAGCAAACTAACTCCAAAGAAAGCAAAAGGAAGAAAATAAGAAGAGTTTAACAAAATATCACAGACACTGGGACTTAACACAACACATTTATTTTTCACAAACTTTGTGTGGGTTAAGATTTCATACATGGTTTAGTTCGATGCTGTGTGTAGGGGCTCACAGGCTGTTCAAGGTGTTGGCTAGACAGTGTTCTGAGGGTTTGGCTATGGTAGGCAGAATAATGGTCCCCCTCAAAATAACAAAGTTCTAATCCCTAGAGCCTGTTCATATGTCACTTTACATGACAAAGGGACTTTGTTGATGCAATTCAATTAAGAATTTTAATAGGAAAGTATTCTGGATTATCTTGGTGAATACAATGTAATCAAAAGTTTCCTCATAAGAGAAAGAAGCAAACAGATGAATCAGGAAAAGAGATGTGACAATGGAAGAAGAGGTCAGAGTGATGTAATATGAGATTTAATATGTAGTATGAAAAACCGGCCATTGCTGTCTTTGAAGGAATGGGGCCACAAACCAAAGAATACAAGTGGCCACTAGGATTTGGAAAGGGCAAAGAATGGACTCTTCCGGAGGGCCTCCGGAAGGAGCAAGTTTTACTTAAACCTTAACAATAGCCCGGTAAGACACATTTGGAATTCTAAGACAGTAAGGGTCCCAGGACAGGACAGCTCAAACAAAAAACTTGATGACTTTAGCCTTGGACACCTTCTGCCATAAATTTCCTTAGTTTATTACCTTTTGTTTTTTTGTTGTTTTGCTAATTTCCCCCAGCCTAAGCATTCACAAATTATATTTCCACAGCTTATCAAGTTACCAGCTATGGGAAAAAGAAAGAAGTTAAAAGAAGAAAAAGGGGGTCACAGACCGTGAGACCAGACCAGTTCAACTGCAGCTGCCCACACACAGCCTCCCTGAGATGTTCACCTTGAAGATGGACAGGAGCCCTGCACCACCCCCAACCACAGCTGATTGGTATCTACAGTTAACAATGATAATAACTTTATCTAAGTCCCCTGTTCTTGCTTTCCTCAATTTTGGTTCTTGCTTTCCTCAATTTTGATTCCTTTTTTCTACAGATCCCAATCCCCAGGATCTCCTCAAGTCTGTCTCTTGCCCGAGGTTTTCCCAGAGTGCTCTTTCCCTTCTCTTTTGTTAATCAATAAACACTCCTTGTCCACTCTCACCAGGGTCTGTAGAGTTCTCTTTTCTGTCTTGACCAGTGGGTTTCAAGGGCCCTTTGCTGCCTGGAGCAGGACCCCCTCGCCCTCTGACTCCTGGCTGGTAGGGCAATGGACAGCAGCTGGCACCCTGCTAGCTTATCTGACTGGTGGGGTAAATTGGGTCCAGCTGTGGGGCTGCAGGCCTGCTTCCCTACTTGGTGACATTCTGATCATCAGTATTATGAATAAATTTGTGTAATTTTAAGCCACTAAATGTTGTAAATTTGTTATAACAGTAGGAAACTAACACCAATGAGGATGAATAACTTCCAAGTTTGCTCAGATTGTTGACAGAATTCATGCCTGTGAATGTAAGTCTGAAGGACCTAGATTCCTGCTGGCTAATTGTTGAGGCCATCCTCAGCTCCTAGAAGGTCCCTTAACTGATTAAAATAAATGTTTACCAAAAAATCTAAGCTGACACATTTAATGTTGAAAAACTGAATGCTTTCCCTTTCCTATTGGATGTCTGCTCTTACCATCCTTATTCAACATCATTATAGATATCTTAGCCAGAAATAAGGTAAGGAAAAGAAAGAAAAATCATACAGATTATACAGTAATAGTAAAACTGCTTCTATTCACAGTTAGGATGGTTGTTCACATGCAAAATTCCAAGACTTCTATAAAAATAGTTCCTAGAACTAATATGTGAGCTTAGCAAGGTCACAGGATATAAATACAAACAACCAATTGCATTTTTCTGTGCTACAGTGAATAACTTCAGAAACTGAAGTTTTGAAAGTTGTACCAAAAAAGCATGAAATACTTAGATATAAGTATTACAAAATTTGTGCAGGTCTATATACTGAAACTTAAAAATAAATCAAAAGAAATTAAGCAAATGATATACCTTGTTCATAGATATTTAAAGAGCAATTGTTATGACACTTTCCTCAAGCTAACTGAAGATTTAGGATGATTCCAATTAAAATGTAAACAGGACTTTTTTGTACAAATTCAGTTGATTCTAAAATGTGTATAGAAAGAAAATATTTCTTTAATAAAAAATGTAAAAGAACTAGAATATCAAAAAGCCTTTTGAAAAAGAATAAAGTTGGAGAACCCACACTATCTGATTTTAAGACTTATAAAAGCAACACTAATGAAGGTGATGTGGTATGACTGAAAGGTAAAGAGGATAATTCAGCAGGAAGAAATCAGAAAACGACCCACACAAAAAAGCTAATTTTTGACAAAGGTAGAAAGACAATTCAATGAAGAAATCTTTCCCAAAAGGGTGCTAAAATAATTTGATAGCCATCTATTAAACAATAAATCTCAATCCATACCTCAAACCCTAAAAAAATGAATTCAAAATGGATCATAGGCCTTAGTGTAAATAATAAAATTACAAAACTTTTTTTTCTATGAAACATAGATTAGGCAGAATTTGAGATATGAAACCAAGAATATAATCCATAAAAGATAAAATTAATAAATTATATGTCATTAAATTAGAATTCTGCTCTGAAGCATAGACTGTGAAAAGAAGGAAGGACAAGCTACCAATTAGGACAATATTTTTGTAAATCACATAACTGAAAAGACATTTAGATTCAGAATATATAAAGACTTCTCAAAACTTTATGATAAGGAGACAACCCACTATTAAAAAACTGAGAAAAGATTTCAACAGTCCAAAAGTGTTAAATGGTTGGCAAACATGCACAGGAAAGGAAGATTAACACCATTAGCCACTACACAAATGTAATGAAAATCAAAGAGATATTAATACACACTTACAATGGAAAAGCAAAACAAAAAGTGACAATACCAACTACTAGAAAGGACTTGGAGCAACTGGGACCACTCATACTGCTGACAGGAATGCAAAATGCTACACCTGTTTTGGAAGGCATTTTGTAAGTTACTTACAAGGTCAAACATACTTAACATACAACTCAGCAATCATACTCCTTTTACTAAATTGCAACAAAAATTTACCACATAAAACCTGTATGTTTCTAGAAACTTTATTCAGAATGACCCTAACCTGGAAACAGGTTATGTCTCTCAACTGCCTGACTGAAGGAAATGGAAGAAGAAAAGAACAACAATACAGGAAGAGCAGGGACCACATATCACTAGAAACTGAACAGCAGCAGTAGGTGCGTCTTGTCTTCAGAAGAGGTCACTAACTCAGGTCCAGCAATTCCCAGACACTATGCTTTTGGTTCTGAGTTTCAAATTCCTGGCAGAGACTGTGGTTGAGCCAATTTAAGTTGGATGTCTACCTCTGGATCAATTGGTAGCTGCTGGAGGGCAAGCTGCCTAAATCTGGGAAGGGCATTGGCATTATCCCTGTGCAGTAGAGCCACTCATAGCAAAAAGGATTTGTGTGTTAGGTAGTTGTGTATGCAGCATACAATACCCAAGAGAAGTGTATTATTATAAGCAAAAAGGGTGTACTGATTCCTTTCCACTGGAGGTCACTATCAGGTGATGAAGAGGACCTAACAGGAGCCAGTGGCATTCTGATTACTATCCCTCCACATAGCTACTTTAATATTCCAGCAAGTTTTTGTCTAAGGTCTAAGAAAAATTACCCTCATTCTCAGTTTAAACTTAAAACTTTACTTATCCTACTGACAAAAGATTATACACACTTACATTCAGGCTTTCAGGTAAAAGATAATCCTTCTAAGGCTTAGCTGCCTTACCACCCTACTCATGCTGTTACTCTACTAAAAAAAACTTGTAAGGTCTCCCTATTATCTACTGTATTACCTCATCTAAGCATTAAAAATCTCTTATCAAATAGCCCTCTCTGCCTTTCCCAATTTCTGTTTTATTAACATTTGTTGAACAATGTCCTCTCTTTTTGGGACACTTAATATGGATGACCATATTTATCAATCTTTTTGATAAGAACTTATGGGTAAAATAGAATCAAATATCTGAACTTAGATCAGCCCAGAATATTTGTCGCACTTTTGCCGCAATACTAAATGACACACATGAAAGAGGTGAAACCAAAGTCTGTCTCTTGCAAAGGCAGTTCTGCATGGTAAGGATACTATCCAGCAATCTTTGACTCTGTCCACTCTTAAGGAACTGCAGGCCTCCTGGTTGCCCCATTCCGCAGACCTATTTTGCTTACTTCCACTTTTTATCTTTTGTTATCTATGCTTTATTAATCTATTTTGTGTTCCCCCATTTAATGAGATGAGGTAAACCATCTTCAGAAAGTTTATACCTACTAACCTCCCTCTCCCCCAAACAAAGCTTATAGCATAGCAAAAATCTATTATTTTTACTGTATCTGAATTTGAGAACTTTATTGTATTTTTAAAAGGAATTTTATAAACTTGTATACTGCTTGTAATACATAATATCAACAATAAGTTAAGTGATGGGTATGTGTTTTCCTTGACTCAAGAACCTCTCTTCATGAAGTAATCTGTCGCTCCTTGGAACTTCCATTGCACTGCATTCCTCTAGTAAGCACAGTTCATTTTCTGTTCTTATGATGGTTCTCTGTCAACAATGCTTACTACCTTTGTAAAACTGCAGTTCCTTAAGAGAAAGTACTGTGCCTTAATTCTTATTTGTACCACTTCTAACTCATAGCACAATGCCTGGCATATACAGATACGCAGTGCACACTTTTTTGAATGAAGGAATTAACCAACAGGGATTTCTATGATGTTATTACAACTTCCTCTTCCAAATAAGCTTGTGAAACAACCTAGAAACAAAACAAATCCTGAAATAGGTTCAGAGAACGCAATCAGTGAAATTGTTGATCTGATGTAATTCTAAAGAAGGTAAGGGGCCTCCAAGGCTACATGGAAAGCTGTCTGTTTCACAAGTAAAAGAAGAGTAATGGTTCCTGAGAAACAGATACTATTTTAGAATTGTACTTACTATTGGTTAGCAGCTTCTCCTTTTTCAATGGCAGTACAGTAAAATGATTAAGAACTGAGAGGCTAAAGTCAGAATACCAGATACACCCATAACATAACAACATATTAGTTATGTTTCTCATTTCCTCACTACAAAATGTAGTACAGTCCCTCCAAGGGATGGTGTGAAAATCAATGATCAGACATATTTAAAGTATTTCAAATAGTATCTTGGCATTTTGTTTAAAGGTAATATCTATATATATATAGTACTTATTTGTCTTATATTCCCTTACCTTAAGTTCCAGGATATTAAAGACAAGGAGTTTTTTGTTAAATACCCTATGGTACCTAAACAGTTCGTAACAAATAATATCAATAGATGCTCAAAAAGTGATGATGTAAATTGTATTTGAGATACAGAAATGGAATGCACAAGAACATGAAGACATTAAAAGTAAAAACTAATTTAAAGTGTTCTTGGTCTATCATATCCCCCATTACTTCTTTATAATTAGTTGTCAGATGCTTTATTACTTGATCTTTTTCATCCCCTCCTCAGAGCACGTAGCTTGCTTGGTAATTCACGTTAACAGCCCTCAGAATTGCTGGCGTTCTGACAAGCCGGCCGTTAGGCTATCTGAGAGATGAGGCTGCTGCAGCAAAAAGTGGGTTACATTACAGTATTGCTTTGCTGCTGGGGATAAAAGGCCAATAATTTAAGAGAACTGTGTACAGGGAGGCTCATGTCAGCTGAGCACTTTGTGAAGGTCCATATGGACACTTGGAAGGCCAGTGAGGTACTTACGAAGGTGAGTGCACTAACGCTGGGGTTGTGAGCATCGAGCCTGAGTGGCCAGCTGGGCGGGTGGGAGAGGTAGAGCCCCGGCCCAGCAGGGGATGAGTCATCGTCCCCTTCCCAGGCAGGTGCAGGAGGGGCGGGCGCTGGGGGCGGGCGCTGGGAGC